TCATTATGTCCAACCTGTTAGTCTTTACAGCTTTCTGTATCTCTTTACTTTTCATCTTTTTTCAAATATATCTAAAACAGTTTTTGAGTCTGGTCATACAAGGTTTTGTAGAAAATTTCAAGCGCTACCTTTTGATAAAAAAACAATGTCTTAAAAGACAAATATTAAAAGAGTTATCCTCAAAATACTGAGAGGCCCAGAACTTATGGGGCACCCTTTATACTTATCTATCTTTAGGATTTTGTGGATCTTGCTATGAATACGAAAAATTACCTTTAATATTAAATGTTGATTTGGAACATTTCGAGTTTTGAAGGAATTTAAAAGAGACTTCTATTAGACATACATTGGTATAGTTCTACTAGAGCATGTCATCACGATAGCTTTTACCCAGTTCAAATATGAAGCAAAATATATTTTAAATTGTTGCCGCAGAAATATAAAATAAACCTGTGACTATACAATGCAGGACTTCTACTTCTTGAGAGATAGATAATTCAAATCTAAGAAGTGTTATAATAATTGACATTGTATCATTTCAGACTGGCATGTGCTTTTAAAACTAATCAGTTATCGCGTAATTCGTATTGATCATAGGTTGACCTCCTTAGAAGTATCATCCTTCAATCAGATAGTGGCACATATTGCTACTAAGTCAATAAAAAAACCTTAAAGTTTCGTCTCAGAGTGATACATAATCTTATAAGAGGACCAAACCTAATAGAACGGTATTATTGCATGCGTAATTGTGAACAGTATAAATTTCGTAGAAATAACAAACGCCAAAAGTAAAAACTATCGAAAGAAAATATATCAAAAGTGTTATTAGTGCAGCTTCAGCACACTTGCCCAATAACATCGCCTAAATAGTTTTCAGAAGGATCAATGTCCTGGATTTGCATATGATTAGCGTTTGCTAAAGATGCATTAATAATTCTTTCAATATTTTTTCTTTCGACATTTTTTATTTTCCCCAAATTTATGTATGTCGTAATTTCTATTCAATAGTTCTTAGACAACTATGTTTTATTACTACATATGGGTAAAAAGCTTTTAATGCTCGAAACACATTCATTCGTCTGTTGATGCAAATATGTGACGTAAAGAAGATTAGCCATATAAACTCAGCTACAAGAAAGTAGTAAGAAGCAATGGGCTAATCTAACCAATTTTTTAAATTGTCTATTTTATGCTCATTTTGGATGGGGTGGGCTTCTAATATGTCCGAAAAGTTATAAGCTCGAGACTGGGCTTCTATTCCGGATGGACCTCTATTATAGGAGGGGCTTCTATTCTGTGGAGGGGTTTATTTGATTTCCTCTAGATCATATTATAAAACTTAATTGATAAGAAAAAAATTCAAAAACAAAAAAGTATCAATTGTAAATTATCATCATTCGTAAAAAAAACGAGATTATCTTAAATATAAATTCTTTTTTCATAATGAAAATTTTCCTATCTTTTTTCTTTGTTGAAGTACGATCAGATTATAAATCAACAAACCGTTTTCAAGTTTTGGTTCAACGATGGTGTCAATCTCTTCAAGCAAAAGTTGAAACTTATTGTTTTATGGTTCAAAAACGTTTTCCTAATTGTCGATCTCATGTTGAAATGTCAAGTTTTCGTCTTTGGGTGTGGGATGTGGGTGTGGGTGTGGGTGGGCTGTGGGTGTGGGTGTGGGTGTGGG